TGTCACTGGTGGCTAGGCCTAAATTTGGGTATGTCACTGGTGGCTAGGTCTAAATTTGGGTAGGTCACTGGTGGCTAGGTCTAAATTTGGGTAGGTCACTGGTGGCTAGGTCTAAATTTGGATATGTCACTGGTTGCTAGGTCTAAATTTGGATATGTCACTGGTGGCTCGGTCTAAATTTGGGTATGTCACTGGTTGCTAGGCCTGGATTGGGATAGGTCACTGGTGGCTAGGTTTAAATTTGGGTATGTCACTGGTTGCTAGGCCTGGATTGGGATAGATCCCTTGTTGCTAGGCCTGGATTGGGGTAGGTCACTGTTGGGTAGGCTTGGATTAGGGTATATAATTGGTGGCTACCTCTGGATTGGGATAGGTCGCTGCTGGCTAGGCCTTGATCTGGACAAGTTGATTGTAGCTAGGTTTTGATTTGGATAGGGTGCTGGTGGCTAGGGCTGAATTGGGTCCCTGGTTTTTAGGGTGTTATATATTTTTTTATTGCCAAAATTTGTATTTCATAACAAGTCTGCCAAAATAGTAGATACATGTAAATTTAATTAATAAATTGGTTGATCTAATTTAGTCCCTTACTTTAAATTATATGCTCTGTTCTAGGACTGTGTCAAGAATTTCACCAAGTTGGAAAAAGTAGGCGGTGCTGACAAGTGGTTTTGTCCAAAATGTAAAGTTCACAGAGAAGCTAATAAACGTATAGAAATCTGGAAATTACCGCATATCCTGCTTATACACCTCAAACGGTTTGTCTTCTACATAAGCTCATATTTGAATATTGGTGTAATTGTAATTTGCTAAATTAACTTCATTAACATCTTTAGGTAGCATCCATAATGCCAGCTGTTAATGTACAAGCCTACTCATAAATGCAAAAAACCCAGAATTCATTCATTTTGCAATAAATTGTATTTCCATGAAATTTAAGGATATTGACTTAAAAAAGTTGGGGGTTACCAGCTTAATTATCAAGAAAATTATGGTTGTATTTTAGTGGATAGTTGCCATTTTGTCAGTATTATAGTGCTTTTACCATAGGTTCCCATGGCAGAATTATTATGCCATATATCGAATTGTAGGCTGGTGACATAGGCTGAAAAATCATACTGTACTTGACCATGTTAGCGCCCAGTGTCCTCAACTCAGAAAATCATGATTGTTGAGGTGTGGCGGCATTGTTAAAGAGTAGTTTATGCACGCTACCGGCGTCTACACATTCACAACTTATTCACGGCAGTCAATATCCTTGCTGTATCACATAAAAATAATTACTAGTATTAGTTAAGCAAGTTTTATGATTACACAGTCAAATTGGGGGCAATTTAAAGGGGGATAATAACCCGAAAATAAAAATGTCCCAAAAGTGGGGGGGGGGCGCTTAGCCGGTCGAGTACAGTATATTGTGAATGATGGGATACAATGTGGGTTTATTTTTGAAAGATATTACTGGTAGGATAAGTTTCTCAAAATATGTCATTGTTAGCACACACAAAATTATATTTTATAGTGCCATGGAACAATAGCTTCATGATTTTATATAATAAACCAATGAATGTTGTCATGTGATTAATGACCAACTTTCTGAAAAACTGTCATCATAAAGGACAAATTACAGATAATTATATAATTGTACATGTATATTTAAAAAAAATACAGTTTTGTGTTAATACCCTAAATTCTCTATTTTTGAGCAATTAGTTTATCTTTGTCTTTATTTGTACTACAATTGTTTTACTATATTTATTTTGTGTGTTGTTTACTAGTAATACTTAATTATATAAATTTATATTCATTTCAGGTTTTCCTATGAAGGAGTCTGGAGGCATAAACTACAAACAGATGTAGATTTCCCTATAAATAATTTAGATATGAGTTCACATGTTATTGGACCAAAGAAACGTAGTAGTTATAATCTTTATGCAGTATCAAACCATTATGGTACTATGGATGGCGGCCATTGTAAGTAAATATGTATGCATAGTATCATTTCCCTTAGACCTTCTTGTGCAGCACATTTTATTTGCATAGCAATGTACTGATACATTCATGAGGCATTCTACTATCCTCATTACATTCATTTATAAGATTTCTCTGGGGAATACTTTGGTTGCCATGGGTCACAGGTGTGACATCTCTCAGGCTGCTTGAGGCATCACATCAAATATTCTTATGTGTTGATGATGTTACTGACTCCAGCCAGACTGATATACAGTTTCCTTTCATTCATAAATTGAATGAGACAAGGGTGTAATTGAATGGTGAATTGATTGGGCAGAAAGATTTTCTACAACGCCAAGCACTGTCTGAATGTATGCAATAAAGGTATGCAATGAAGAAGTCACCCAAGTTGCAATAAGATTCCAAGATTGCAAATTGCAAGAGAAACTTAAATTTTTAGCTCCGCTGTCGACTTTGTCGAGCGGAGCTTATCATATGAGTGATTGTCCGTCGTCGTCCGTGTCAATGTTTTACTTTTTCGACTTCTTCTTGAAAACTACAAGCCTGAATGCTTTGATACTTGGTGTATATGTACCTTGGGTAGACCTCTCTTAGGTTTGTTCATTTCATGTTGATATCTTCAATTCTCTAATTTTGGTGAATATTTTTGTCATTTTTGGTAAAAAGTGATATTTTCGACTTCTTGTTAAAAACTGCAAGTGCAATTGCTTTGATATTACATATATACGGTAGGTACTACATGTGGATCTCTCTCAGATTTGTTCATTTTGTAATGATATCTTTAATTCTCTAATTTTGGTGAATATTTTTGTCATTTTTTGGTAAAAAGTGATATTTTCGACTTCTTGTTAAAAACCACTACCATGGCCATATTATTTTTGTTTGTGGACGGCAGAAAAACTATATATCTGTTTCACTGGAGTTAGTGTTATTGAATTGCATATGATGAAAGTTATTGTTGGTTTTATATAGTTGTATAATTGCATGCATTGTGTATTTGATAATCTAATATGTTTATTTTGCTGCCACATAGATACAGCATTCTGTAAAAATGCAATAAGACAAAAATGGTATAAATTTGATGACACGGAGGTCTATGAAATGCCAACACGAAATGTCAAGGTATAACACAATATTTATTCATAACATATAGACATATTAGTTTACTGCATTAGAACAATACATTGTTTTCTTGCTGGGTGCTTCATATCCGCGGCATTGAGCCCTTCTGAGTTTTTACTTAGAAGTATTTAAAGCAAGGGCACGCTGGGCTTGGCATGATATAGAAAATAATTGTCCTGATGTGAGGACGCACTTCCCATAGCATTATGAGGTCAGGCAATACAAGGTATATAATAATCATCATCTATGTATGCTCAACCCTTTAAATGCCAAGTCAAGTTTTGTCACTGTTCACAGAATAACATCTGCATAATTTTTTATTTGAATATTTTTTCCAAAAATATTTTTCAAGACTTTTAGCTAATTGAAAATCATCTTCATTTGGTTAAATGAAAAAAAATATCTAACAATGTGCAAAGTGTTGTCTCCTAAAATTATATCGTAGTTCGTATCAGTTATAATAGAGCTTATAATATGACTGACATGAACTTTCATAAACACCACTATGCAGAATATTTTTAGATTTGGATTATTTTATTACAAACTAATTACAAATATTACAAAGTAATCAGAAAAAAAATTACAATTATTGTCATATGGATTTATATTTTGAAAAAGTATTCCTTACATGCATAAATTATATTAATTTTTTCTGCTGAGCCACGCCTTTAAAATACTGATTTAGAAATAGTTTTATCAAGGAAGACTTGCAATAGTTTTTTATATTAGTCTGCATACTTGTTTTAATGATAGATATTCTGTAGCATAGAGACTGAGGAAATCAAAACTCAAACTCAACACTAACTTGTTATTTTCATTTTCATTTCCAGTCGTCAGCTGCATATATCCTCTTCTATACCTCAATTGAACTTCCACCTCCGGCAATGCATACATTTTGATGTCACCACCAAGTACTGTCATGTGTGCATCAAAGCCAGTAGTACCAGGATTCTGAACATGTTTACAGTAAATGTTTGCATTCTTCTTCTGCTACCTGTTTCTGCTTCCATCATTAAAATGGAAGGGAAAATCAACTGATCTAATCATCATAAGATTTTTAAGTGGACTTTATAATTGGTAATTGGGGTTCAAAAAAGTAGAATGAATCTAAATGGTATAGTGATGACGAATAACATTCAGAGGTTTGAAAAAATGTACATGTTTAGTTAGGATACAATAACTCTCATCTGTTCTGGCAAATTTTGCTGACAATTTAACTCTTACTTTTATGACCATTATGTCTTGAGTACAAGAGCACACTTTATATGGCCTTTTTTTCTACTGCTTCATTCTAAATGTATAACTATATGAAGTATTTCTTGTATTTACAAATGCTAAACATTATTTAAAGTTTGAAATTCGAATCTTTTCAAAATATCTAATAAGTAGTCAGGGGTTCAAACATCAAGTGCAGCAGACACTAGGTAGAGAATGATCATTTTGATTGTCACTTGGTTGCATTGAATTACAATGTATACAAGGGGAAATAACATTTGTGTATTTTGTATTTATGTAAATTAACCTATGTTTAGCGTTGTGCATGAGGCAGTGCAACTGATTGCTGAATCTTTCAATTTATTCATGGTATAATCCTGAAACTGAAAAATGTGGGTTTACAGATAAAAAAAATCCCACTGTTTTGTTCAGAGTCTTGTAAATTGCACTTGAATTGGTGCTCTTACTCAATTTTCTTGACTGTAACTAAAAACTGTATATATACACTTTCTTGTGGTGTTTCCAATATTTAGTGATGTCTGGTTACAATACAGTTTATAGTACATTTTTGCATTTACATATATGATATTGATACATCAATTAGCTTTGATCCTTCAAAAGTGGGAAACACTGACGTCATTGAACTGGAATGTCACAAAAATAAAACTCCAGAGCTGTCTATTTCACTTCACTTTGCTTATTTTTGTTGTCATTTGTCTTAGAGCTCATCCTCATTCCTTTTCTATGCTAATTTTACTACCGAGTAGTCCTAATACAGGGGAATGTCCTTGCTTCTCTCAGTCTTGAGTCAAACTCTTATAAGGAACTAACCTGTAAGAATTCTTCATTTTAGCATAAATTTCCCTTTTTAGCTCTTTGTTTATTACCCGTAAGCATTTCTTTGATGGTTTCATTCAAACATTCTATGATTATTTCACATCTTCTTGTTTTGTGATTTGATAAACTTGCATACAGTCTCTTTTCATTTTTTGGTGTTTTTTTCAATAAAATAAAAAATTGTATGAGTGTATAAATGCTGAAAGCTGAGTTAAATAATATTTTATTGAAAAAACACCAAAACAAAAACAAGACACTGTTTGTAAATCTATTTATTTGATTAAAATTTTTGCTTACTGGTGTCTATTCAAAGTCAGTTAAAGGAAATCTATCAGTGTTTTGGATCAAACCATTCTTCCCTATGTGACTTACGATATGTTGCGATGTTACAAAATTAATTAAGAAATATCAACTATGCAAAGATCTATTTTCAACAAAGTGTTGAAATAAGTTTAAGAAGTAAATATTCGACACCCCTCCCTTTGTGTAGCCATTCTATTGATCACCACAAAGGAAGAACATGGGCCTGTTTTATATAATGTTGTACATAAATTGTAATTTATAATGTTAACTGTCCACTCATTGCTCATTTAAGAAAGTTGCTGCTCTTTATTTGTAATTAATTAATTAATAGCTTGTGACTTGTTCCATTGCAATTAGTATTTTGTAACTGTATTACTAAAAGTAATGTCATCATAACCTTGACTTTTGGTTTTGTCAATATAAGTTTCAGACTTGAATCATGTTGAAAACATGCATGTTGAACTGTTTTGTTTGAAATTAACATATTGTAATTAAACAGATGTACCAAACTTATTTATTGTTTGTCTAATTTATTTGTTTGTCCTATTGTTATTGTTGTACTCGTAGATATATGAGGCAATGGACTTCTAGTGCTTAATGAATTCCTTTGATTATTAGATGGGATTCTACATACCCCAGTAGATGGTTATGTTAGGGACAACATCAAAAGTTCAATGTAGGATAAAAAACTTAATTCCTTTAGTTTCTCACCCCCCACCCCCACCCCCCACTGAAACTTAATTGATAAATATTGATCATGGCGTCCGACTACATTCTCAAATTGATAATCAGACAGTAGTATTGCATAGCAGTTGGTTGTCGGGTGGGTGTAAATAGACTTTACAAATGCATCTAAACAAGAACAGAGTCTACAGCAACAAGTATTTTGCAGTTTGGTTGATTGTGAATGCAGTGAAACCACTATTCTGATTATATAATAGCCCTAGAACAAAGTGGACTATAACATTGCAAGTCAGTTTACAGTCAACAGTCCTGGTGAGGTTAAGAAAATCAATTGGTTGACATGTTTTATTTTTTGTACCTTGTTACGCCAAAAAAAATTATCATACAAAATTTAAACCCTCTTGAAAAACGGGTATCAGCACAGGCATAATGATTACATAATAGTTGCATCAACATACAAACATGTAACACCAGTGTCCATTGTGAAACTAAATTTGAGGGTCAAAACGTAATTACCAGTAAGTTTGTCTTATTTCAAAGTAGGCAGGCTTGCAATGTGTGTTAAATTTTAAGATGAATTATGGTTGTATTATCATTGTTAAACTCGAAATATGCCATTTGGGTCCAACAAAGAGGTAAAACAATTAATATGTGGTATATATAATATGACATTTTATGTGGCAAGACTGTTAAATATTGTTGCTTGATTGAAAAAAATGCACAAAAGACAGAGATACCGGTATATCATGGAGCAATGGTTATTGCCCTGTGCTAATCTGATTAAATCTGATGTATT